GCTTCTTTAAGAAGGTAAATTTGATTACTGAATGGCTTGAACCTCCAGATCCCTTTCCCATCAGATCCCAACACTGGTCTAGGTGGTCGTAAAAGGAGGGAAAGTAATTGAAACTGACTCCTGTGCTGCTTATAGCATGAGAGTTAGTATCAGACAACAATATTGTCATTCACAAAATTGTTTCTGCTATATTCCTGGTGCTGAAAGGATGTGGAAATGAGTAAAGCTCTCAGTATTTGGGGCAGGAAATGCATTTTTTATGTCCTTGTCTCTCTTTTTTTAGATACTTTTATCAGTAGAGCACATTCTTTATTAAAGGATTATGATTTAGGTAAGTTGAATCTTGACTTAAAATATCCTGATAGGAACCCTGTAGCAGGATAGCACATTGAATAACAAGTTTGCAGATGACAGATTACAGATTTATGGTTTTGGGTATATCTTATTGATCACATAGTGTTGTAGTATATAATCTGCTGATACCATTCTTTGAAATGCAGTTCTGTGATTTAGTTATTAAATAGGCTGTCTGGTCTATGATGAATCCTAATGTGAGTGGACATTTGTGGATGATAAATGCGGATATGGGACTGAGACCAGCTTTCAGGAAGTTGTATGGGTGATGGTTAGTCAGAGCTGTACTGACAACTCTGGTTTATACTCCTTTTTAGGATTGAATCTCTGGGAAGAAACCCAATGAAGTAGGTGACAGCAGTTTTGCCACAAAACTTTTCACGTGACAACAGTTCTGCTACAAACCAACCAATGCCTTGTTTGGTATCCCTGAAACCTGCCATATGTGATAAATAAAGACAGTGGAAATATATGTATCTCTTGCTGGTGTTTTATAGAACAAAAATCTAATATTTAAAAGTTGACAAGACTAGCTTGTCAACTTCATGACTTCTGATCAGTTTCCATTCTTAAACTCATTTCCATGGGCTAGAAAATGAGTCCTAGGAGTACAGTGGCTAAGCAAATGGCACCTAATCTAAAGGTCAGGTTGGTTCCTGGTATCACTAGACTGGCCATGCCTAACACCCAGGGTGGCATAGACAGCCCTGTTGGACCTGCACCTTAGATTCCTATTATCTGTAAGTTTTACTCATTCCAGTAGTCAGGAAATAGACCAGCAGCACTGGGAAAGTCTGCTGTTAGGGAACTCTAGATTACTGAAGAGAGGAATGTCAGTTTGAGGACTAAGGTGTGTCTGATTCAGGCTTTCAATCACTTGGTATGCATTTGAGCTGCATAGTGAATAAGGATGGCAGAAGCCTTTGAGCTGTGGAGTTGGAGAAGAGCACTGAACATCTGTTGGATGTTGGCAAAACAAATACGTCTTCAAGAGAGTGCAGGAGTGTTTTTTGGAAGAAGGATGAAGGGTCAGCGAAGGAGAGGAAGACCCACAATGCATCATGGGTCCGAGGATAGTACAGGGTTCAGATCTTAGGGTCCATTGCCTCCCCTTTTCATAAGCAGTAAATCAGTGATACAGCCAGAGGCACTGCTTTTAAGTTAGCAACAGCAATCTTAAGTAGAAAGACTGCTCACCTCAAATGACAGCTTTATCACAGAGCAAGATGACTGTTCCAGTGCCCAATAGACATACCTTGTACATTCCAGCTAACCTTCTTCTGCTGCCATTAGTTCTTTGTAATTTTATATACATGTGTTTTACAAGGCCCGTGATAAGCCCTTGCCCAGGCACTGATGACATAGCCAAAACAACTATGGTTTGTGCCCTGTATTCTCATAGGTTCTACAGAATTTTACCTAGGAAATTGTCACACTGACTGTAAGAATGGCACAAAACCTTTTAAAAATACATTGCGAAGACTTTGTTAGGTGCTCCTATGTTAAATATACCCCATCCCATCTTTTTGTCAGCTTTACAATTTGACACACTTGAGATCATTGCAATAGTCACTCAATCCATTCTATCTGAATAGCCATCTTCCTCCAGGTAGAACCTGCAACCTTTCAATTTGATTTTACCAGGCCTTGCTTAACTTGCTGCTGCCACACACTTTTGAATTGACAACTGTGCTTAGAAACATTTTGCCGTCATTTGTGGCAACATATTAAAAAACAAGTAGCAACAACAACAGAAGAAAGTATTTTCCAACCTATCCCGTAGGCATCAAAGAATCCATATGTAAAAGTGGCCTATAAAACCCAGTACTATAAATCCTGTTTCACTCTTGATTAAACACTCCAGACTCATGTCCACAGGTATGAATTATCCCACTTGTGTAAATTATTACTCTTCAAAGATAAAAAATTTAAAGGATTTTGGGGGATAGAAAAGAATCTTCAAAGGGAGCTCTGGTAGCATAGTGGCAAGAAGCTGTGTTGCAATCATGAAGGTGTGCAGTTCAAAACCATCAGATGCTCTGCTGGAAAAGGAGGGGCAATCTCCTCCAGTACCAGTCGGATCAGATTCAACGATGGACAATTTAAAAAAAAAAGTCTTCAGGTTTTTTAGAAATCTTGTTTTTCAAAAAGGTGTTAAATGGAAATCTGTAGCACTAGAGAAATATTTACTCTCAAGGGATAGTTTATTAAAACCTAAAAAATATTTCCAAGAAGGTAAAAGTTCTTTATTTTCTTCTTTTAAAAAGTCATCTTCACATAGCCTCTTCTGAATGGCTTGTTCTGGCTACATCATGGCAGGAATCTCTGAAGACACAGAGTCCAGGGGTTGCCAGTGACAGTCCATTAGTGCATCATAGAGCTCCTCGCTTTGCTCCATGAACTCCTTGTTGGCCTCAGTCACATCCAGTTGTGGCATGGGGTCTGGAAGATAAAAGGACAGGTTCAGAAGATTGAGCTCCCCAGTATGAAGCAAGAAGCATGGGTCACATGTGAGACCTGGAATCATTTCTCAGCTCCTAGGATGTCCTGTGTGTGCCCTGGGCAAGATCCTTATCCTCTGTCAAATTTCCTTATTTATCCTTGGGACAAAAACTATTATAGACTAAGGTTCATATGAAGGAGACAGTAGGGTAACATAGTATGTAACCTGTGCTCAAATGGTGGCTGTCAATCTACATTTATTAAAAGCTACATATTAGGCAGCATGAAGACAGATGGAGAAAAGACTGAAGGGGTTAACAATTTCATCTTGCTTAAATCCACATCAGCAGTTAGGAAATCAAAAGATAAGTTGCAATGGGAAAATCTGTGAAGGACCTCTCCAGAGTGCAATAATGTCAAACTAAGGTATACTTGATCCAGGTCTTTCAATTGTTTGCTGTGCACCTAAGAGGTGGACAGTGAAAAGGATAACAAAAATCAATGGTTTTGAGTTGTACAGAAAGTGTACTGACCATACCATTGACTGCCAAGTGAACAAACCAAGTCTGTCTCGGAAAGGATGAAACCAGGTTGCTTCTTACAGGCAAAGTTTTTAAATTCCCTCTCACATACTTTGAGCATGTTGTCAGGAGGAGTCCTTTGAGAAGGATAAAGGAAGGTGAAGAGTCTGACCAAAAGAGGAAGACTCTGGATAAAATGGACTGACACAGTGACTGGGGCAATGGAGTCAACTGTGTCATAGACAGTGAGGTTGGGTCAAGATAGGGCAAGGTTCAGAGCTATTCAATAGCGCCTAACAACAAACACCTAAGTTTCACTGAGCCAGTGTATGCCCCGATTTTTTAGTGAGGTCTTTATTTCAAATGTGGGTTTGGAAAATCTGATCACAAAAGTGCCATCCTTCTTGATTCTGCTGGATGCACAGTGACCCTATCTATAATTGAGGAGCAGTGATGTCAGTTTGAGGACTATTGTATGCCTGATTTAGGCCATGGTCTTTTCAAACAACTTGCTGTACTGCTGAGAGCTGGACAGTGAAGAAGAATAAGAGAATAACTGATGCCTTTGAGCAGTGATGTGGGAGAAGAGTACTGAATAACTCATGGACTGCAAACAAAGACATCTATCTTGGAGAAGGTGCAGCTAGAGTGGTCCTAGAGGCAAAGATGATAAAGCTTCATCTCACATACTTTGGGTATGTTGCTAGAAGAGGCTATTCCATGGAGATGAACATCATGTGTGAAAAGGTAGAGATGGCAAAAGAGAGGAAGGCCTTTAATCAGGTGGACTGACAGTGGAGCAGTGAATCTATGTCAAGAGATTGTGAGGATGGCACAGGACAGGGTTCATAGAGTTGTTATCACAAGAGTCCACAATTAAGGTTGCATAGTGGAATGTACTTGGGGCGGTGCGAGGGGTGCGGGGGGGTTGTGTACCAGGGAGGGAGTCTTTCTTTTACTTCTGAAAGAGGAGCGAACTAGGGGGCAAGGGGGGAGAGGGCTGGGCGGGTAGAGAAGTGCAGCAATGAATGGAAATCCAAATTCTTTGTAAATGTTCATTAAAATTATTTTTTAAAAAAGAAAAAAAAATGCACACAAGGATTTTCCTTAGCAAGGAAGAGCTATGACTGGCAGAGAAAATTATTTCCAAGCATCTGGTATTGTTCTGCTGCTTTACCTGAATGAAAAGCTACCTGGCCAACTGACTAGAAGATATTTCTTTATTCCTATTTCAAGAAAACAAACTTCACTGGTGGATGGAGGGAGGGGGTGAAGGAATTAGGAAGAATGCAGTGGAGATCTGAAAAGATGAGGTAATAGATAATATAGATCAATGCTGATTCATTCTATAAGACACAATGTATGGGAAGGATCATATGAAACACAATGTGAATGAAAAAAAGTTAATAAAAGATAAAATGAGAAAAGGGTACCACAAAAGAAAGTGTAAATTATCAAACAATATCATTCATATGAAAGAAAAATCTTACTGTGGATTATTAAAAAATAACTGGAACAATACTCCCAACAGGGAACTGCCAGAAATCCAAGCTGGGTGAAAAGAGAGAGATCACTGTTGATGTCAGATGAATTTCAGAACACTTAAATGTGGTCAAGGAAAGCCCGAACATAGTTTATGAAGCAGTTGGTGGGAGGGAGGATGGATAGGGAGAGTAGGAAAAGAATGGATAGATAATTCTTCTATTGAAACAGACAGTTAAGGGAAGGTGAACCTGAATGATAAGACAGATGATTATCAATATTGAAATCAACAATCTGGAACGGGACAGATATTATGACTAGGGGGGAGAGAAAAAAATTAACGAGAAGATGGGTAAGGGGAATAGCAATATACAGTAAAGGATCTGCTTTGTTATTGTTAGGTGCCGTCAAGACAAGTATGATAAACAGCAACCCTACGAACAACAGATCTGAATTCTGTCCTGTCCTGTGTCATCCTCACAATCTCTGTCATACTTGAGCCCACTGCTACAGTCACTGTGCCAACCTATCTCACTGAAGGTCTTCCTTCATTTGGTTACCCATCATTTTTCCAAGCATGATGTTGTTCTCCAAGGAATAGCCTCTAAGGATCTGCTAAGATAGTTTAATAGTTAATTACAGTAACCAATGGTAATAACTGCCAATGAATTATTTTTTTAAAAAAACGAATGATATTTGAAAAGTTACAAATAAATAAATAAAATAAATTTAAAAAAATAAAATAAGCAACTATGTCTAACAGAATAAGGGGTCCTCAATGTTTAAAAATCAAGAAAGTTGTGCATCAGGGTTGGGTCCTTTCATCACACCTATTCAAGCTTTATGCAGAGCAAGTAATTCAAGAAGCTGGACTCCATGAAGAAGAATGTGCCAGAGGAAGACTCATTAACAACAATGACACAACCTTGCTTGCTGAAAATGAAGAAGACTTGAACCAGTTACTAAAGAAGATCAAAGATTATAATACAGTATCAGAAAAACAAAAGACACTATTATGATAGATAGGGAAAAGCCTGAAGTTGGCAAGAACTTAATTTTACTTCGATCCACAATCAATATCCATCATAGCAGCAACCAAGAAATCAAAAGATGGATGGCCTTTCTACGAAGATGGTGCCAAAAGTGAAGAAGGAAGCCCTTGCCCCTCACAAAACTAAAGCCAAAGCAAAGGCATTCAAGGCCAAGGCGACAGTCCTGAAGGGCAGCCACAGCCACACACACACACAAAAAGATCTGTATGTCACCCGCCTTCTGGCAGCTGAGACTCCGAAGGCAACCCAAATACCCCCAGAAGAGCACACCCAGGAGAAACATGCTTGATCACTATGCCATCATCAAGTTTGCCCTGACCACTGAGTCAGCCATGAAGAAGAAAGAAAGTAATGCACTTGTGTTCACTGTGGATGTCAAGGCCAACAAGCACCAAATTAAACAAGCTGTAAAGAAGCTCTATGACATTGATGTGGCTAAGGTCAACCCTTTGATTAGGCCTGATGGAGAGAAGAAGGCCTGTGTTCGACTTGCTCCTGACTATGATGCTTTGAATGTTGCCAACAAAATTGGGATCATCTAAACTGAGTCCAGATGGCTAATTCTAAATACAAATTTTTCACAAACACACACCAGAGAGGGCACAGAATGAACATGTGCACAGGGACACAAGTGTGAAGGCAGGGAAAAGGCAAGATGGAGCAGCAGGGACTATGCAGCACCTGTTTAAGGTGGATATGCCCCACCCAGAGGCCAGGGACCAGGAACTGTAGCCATCTGAGGATGGCATGGAGCAGCAGCAGGATGAGGATGAAGGTGTCAATGGCCTGGCCAGTGCCAACTGCCAAGTGATGCTGGAAAGGAAGTTAGAGTCCTACTACTCCTCTCTGGACTCGGCCGTTGACATCTTGAAGAGAAGGCCCAGGACGTCATCCCAAATGTCAAGCGCAGGCAGAAAGATCATCAACTCATGAGCAACTTCAGCTTTAAGATTAAGGTTTCGGATCTGACAAAGAAGTTAGAAGAGAGGATGTTTCAGATTTATAATTTCTACAACAAGATTAGCCAGGAAAACCTCCAAGAGTTCCTGCAGAAAATGGCAAAGATCATCCATTTGGAAACAGAAATCAAGCAAGTCTGCCACACAGTGGAAACAATCTACAATGACTGCTGTGTCCCGCCTGAGTCACTCTGCCTGGCTGCTACTGTGGAAGAAGAGAATAACAATAAAGATGGTGAACAATGACAATGCCAAGAATTTCACCTCCTACTGACAGCCACTATAAGAAGGTACAGAGGCTGCTATTTGAGCCACACAAGACAAACTGGTTTTCTAATTTTGTGATGCATAATGTGAAGACCTAGAGCTTTATTTATTACCCGTAAATGCAGTAAGTCTAGCCTTGCTCATGTGTAGCTTTGCTCCCTTCCCTTCATGTGGTAAACTGTCCCTTCCTCAGCCCCTGACAGTTGATTAAATGTCTCCTTTAAAAAAAAAAGAAGTCAAAGATGTATTCCATTTGGCAAACCTGCTGTCAAGGATCATATGAAAGTGCTAAAGAGCAACGATATCTCTTCAAAGACTAAGGTGACTCAACCCATGTTATTCTCAATTGCTTTACATGTTTATGAAAATTGTACAATGAATAAGGAAGATTGAAGAATGGATGGCTTTGAATTACGGAGTTGGTGAAGGGTATTGGAAAAAAGAACAAATCTATCTTGGAGGAAGTGCAGTAAGGTGCCCCTTAGAGGTAAGGACAGTGTAACTGTCTCATGCATTATGGGCATGTTAAGACAAGAGAGACCTATCCTTGTTTTGAAAAGGACATTCTACCTGGAAAAGTAAACAGCAAAAAGAGAGGAAAATCCTCAACCAGGTGGGCTGACACAGCGATTACAACAAAGGGCTTGTGCTTGGCAAAGACTGAGGATAGTGCAGGACAGGGCAAGGTTCTGCTCTGTGGTCTATAGGGTTGTTGAGTT